TTTTTTTTGTGAGGAAGCTCGGCCCTGAGCTAACATCTGCCAATCCTCCTCTTTTTGCTGAGGAAGACTGGCCCTGGGCTAACATCCGTGCCCACCTTCCTCTACTTTATGTGGGATGCCGCCACAGCATGGCTTGACAACTGGTGCGTTGGTGCGCGCTGGGGATCTGACCTGGCGAACCCCGGGCCGCCGCAGCAGAGCACGTGCACTTAACCGCTTGCGCCACTGGGCTGGCCCCCCTTTAAGATTTTCTTTATCACTGTTTTTCACCAATTCGATGGTGATGTGTTGTAGTTTTCTTTGTGGTTCCTGAGCTTGGAGTCTGTTGAATTTCTTAGATCTGTGGGCTTATAGTTTTCATCAAATTTGGGAAATTTTTGGTCATTTTTTTCTTCAGACGTCTTTTTCTGTCTACTCTTATGTTGTTGTGTGCTGGATATTGTTTTATTCTGTTTAGAAGAACTACAGCTGGCCTGGCTTCAGGGTTTAGCATGTACTCTTCTAGAGGACCACAGAAATATCTGGCTTCCCAGAATCGTGGTTCCTGCCACACACGTGGGTACTTGTTTTGCTCCACATGATTCGTTAAAAACCAAAGCAGAACAAAATCACCTGATCTCCGTCTGTGGTAATAGATTTAAATCTACAGACACAGAAATACCTTTATTTTTATCAGTAATTTCTCTTCACATGTATCTGAAAGGGCACGAGAGCTAACATTGACTCACTATTTAGTATGTGCCAGACATCGTGTGGGACTTTGTTAGTATGTGACCTCATGTAATCCTTCTAGGAGTGCTATTTTACAATTAAAGGCCATTTTTTGACTTTTACCATCATTTTCTTTTCTTCCTCCATACTCTGGACATTTTAGTCATCTGTCGTGTAGCTGTGTCAGTGACTTAACAAGTTTTGAGAACTCATCATGTGCATAGTTAGGTGCTGGGCCTCTTTTGAGAGACGAGGAGATTAGCTATCCCTTGTTTGTTGACTCCCCTGTACTAAGCGTAGTGCCTGGCAATTATCACCCCTGGTTTACAGATGAGTAAACTGAGATTTCAAATGGTTAAATTAAATGTATTAGTTAGGATTCCGGTGATTGTAAATGACTGAAATCCAGCTCAGATTGCCTTAAGCAAAAAAAAAAAAAAAAAGAAATTACGTTGGCTCGTTTTATTGGGGGAAAAAGTGATTTCAGAAACATCTGCATCCATGTGCTCAGTGTCATCAGGAGTCTGCTGCTCTGTGCCCCTTAGCTCTGCTTTCCTAGGTGTTGGCTTAATGTAGCGCAGGCTTTTCCCCCATGTGTGGCACACTGGCCAGTTTATCAGCAGCACCAGACTTACATACGGCAGCTCAGTCAGTCAGTCATCACTGAGAAAGAAGGTTCTCTTTCTCAACAGTCAAACCATGTCCCAGGGTGATCTCGCATTGGCCCGACTAGATCACGGTGTCACTGTGTATGCCACTGAACCGAATCGTGGTGGCCAAGGTTGTGGAACATATAGGCACACACGGGGTGAGGGGCAGGAGTGACTGAGAGTGACAGAGCCTAAAAGGAAAGTCAGGGTTATGTTATCAGAAGAGAGGAGAATGGATGTTAGGCAGGTAAAAACAACCACTACTTAATTAACATGCCCAAGGTGATTCAGACAGAGTAAGAGGTGGAACTGAGATTCTATTAATAACCTTGTCAGGCTGCCCCCAAAGCCTGGTGCACTTAACTATTAAGTCACCCTACCTCCTTATTCAGTTACTGTTTGTTGGATGCCAGCCTTCTAGAAGGTTACAGATCTGGGGATATATGACAAACAAATAAAACATTGGGAAACAATTAATTGCTGAATTGTGAGGTCCTATGGATGGAGGTTTTTCAAATGGAAAACATTAGAAAGATTTTTTCATTATAATTATTGTTATTATTATTACTATTAGATTCAGAAGTGTTTTACAGGAAATTCTGGATTTTAAAATTTGAAGTTTGACCAAATACTAACATAAATCTTGATAAACTGTGTTTTCTCTCATTAGTATTGGACCAAGTACAGTCCTTTCTCCCACAGATGGCCCAGGCAAATGAAAAGCTAAGAAAAGAAATTGCAGCTGCACCACCTGGTCGTTTCAATATTGAAAATATTGATGAGACTCTTGGAGAAGTTATACAAATGGTAATTCGGCTTTGTTTTCATTTCATGAAGTAAAATTACCAGTGTGCCGTGTCACCAAAAAAAGAGAGAACGTTTCCATTTTAATTCCGAGTGTTACTTTCCTTCCTTCCTGGAAGGTCAGCTCATGTTTCCAGTTCAGCGTAGGTACTTGGTCATTTTATGATTAAGGATCTTACTGATCAGTAAGCTTCCCTGGGTGAAGTTGAAGGATTTAGTAATACAGAATCTTAGGAGGGCTTTTTCAAATCAAATATTACATTTGTTATCTTGAAGTATTCGTTGACTAACTGAGTTTTTTTCTACCACTTAAAAATATAAAAACCATTCTTAGCTCACGAGCTAAACCAAAACAGGCAGCAGGCTGGTTTGGGGCTACAGGCCGTAGTTTGCCAACGCCTGCTCAGAAACGTAAGGATTCTGTTGCTGTTGTTGCTGAGTCTCTAGGACGCAGTATGATGCCTGGCTCACATTAATATTTGTTGAGTGAATGTTGACTGTATTCAGGATATAGAGAATTGGGTTGTGGGGGACTTTTTAGACGTGTAGTAAATGTAAATCATTAGAGTGGACTCTGGTAACTGGAACAATACAAGTGCCACATTGTATTAAAAACATTTCTGAGCCAGCCCCGATGGCCTAGTGGTTAAAGTTCTGTGCTTTACGCCTCAGCAGCCCAGGTTTGTTTCCTGGTTGCAGAACCACACCACCCATCTGTCAGTAGCCATGCTGTGGCGGCAGCTCACATAGAAGAACCAGAAGGACTTACCACTAGGATATACAACTGTGCACTGGGGCTTCGGGGGAGGAAAAAAAAATTCTTGTCCTTTGTGCTTCAATATTTGTGCTAAATGTTGGTCGTTCCCAATGTTGTTTTTACAACTTTTTAGAAATAAATTTCCCACGTGGTGCTTTTTGCAGGATGTGGCCTTGTTTGAGATGAATCAATCTGATTCAAAAGAAGAGGACAGTTCAGAAGAGAGTTCACAAGACAGTTCAGAGGACGGTTCAGAATCCGAGGACGAAGATGACAGCAGCGATTCTGAAGTCACCATAGACAACATTAAGCTTCCTCATTCAGAAGATGGAAAAGGCAAGATAGAGGTTTTGGACAGTCCTGCCAGTGAAAGAAAAGAAATAGTGAAATAAATGGTCTAAGAATCAGGTGATCTAGGCCTGCTAATTCTGTGAAAAAGAATGTGGTTCGCGGGTTGTTTTGCATTTCAGCTACCTATGGTGCTTTTATGGAATATTGCATGTATTTTGTTTCTCGGAGAAACAGAAGCTGGCTTTTAAAGAGTTGGATAGGATATTTGGGAATCTCTAAGAGTAGCCTGTCTTTGATCTCATGCTAAAGAGATTTGGTTTAGAAAGCTTAACTTTATGTATGGTGATGAGTGAATTTGTTGGCATCTTCTTTCTTCAGCATAGACTTCAGAAATATCAAACTTATTTTAAGGTAAAAATACAAATCACCTGTTTGTTTCTGCTTTAAATTATCCTCTTGGATAAAACAACCTAGGGTTTTTTAATCAATTCAAATTTATTTGTTACCATCAAAATGGGTTCAATGAGGAAGAAATTTTTCACAAAGAAAAGAATCACTTATATTTAGCTGTCCTCAGGCAGATCTACTTTGATTTAAAAAAAATATTCCTTTGCAGTTTGAGCTGGAAAACTTGTGCTCTGTGGTTTAATCACTGCTGGTGACTCTGCAGCCATTAAATGCATGTAGAATTTACTGGTTGGAAAAATTTGTGAGTTTTTTCTTTTCTTTTTTTCATAAAGCAAATTTTTTTTTGTTTCAGCTGTTAAAACTATTCCACATGGTTGCTCATGGTTTGAAACTTATCAAATGTAGAAAATAAGGGACACCACAGGAAAAATAGGGCACAGTACCAAAGAAGGTAACAACTGGTTTTCCCTTTCAAGGGTCAGCATGATGCTGTGCTGGATTCGCCTTTCTGCCTCATCCTTGACCTTATATAATTTGTTTCCGAGTTCATCTGCCGTGGGACTGGCTTTGCTCAGGATATAGACCTGAGAATTTAAAGGATTATCTCTGAGGGGTTGAGCTGATGGACTTTTGCCCCCTAATGTTTTAGGGCTCTCTTTTAACTATTTTTTCCTACTCCTCACATTAGCCCAAGACATCTTTTAAATATTCAGAAGATAATTTCAAGTGTCTTTCTGGTATTTCCCATTGGAAATTGGAACCATCTCTTCCAGGCTGTGCCTTATGAAATATATGAAGAAATGAACAAGATCTGGATATGTGATTTCTCAGCTGGAAAGGGTATTATGTTTGTAGCACCAGACACAACTGTGATGTATTATTGGTGTAAATATTTAAAGATTGTCTTGTACCAGATAATATATTATGCTACATTGTGGGAAGAGTTGCATTTGTCTGGTTCACTACTTAGCATGGTGCATGGTACGCATTAGGCACTGAATAATGTTAAATGAATTAACGGGTATACGAGGGTGTACAGGACATTTTAAGCCATGGTAGGCTGCTCCAGGCAGGGGGATATGAAGGTGTAACTTCACAGGAAATACACTAGAAATAGACTGAGTGATCAGTGAAAGAGTCTAGTTAGTCTAGAAATACATACTCATTTGTAGAATTTTAATATTTTTCTCCTGCCATGGCTATCTCATGTAATGCAGCTGGGCTTCCTATACAGTAAAAGTAGTCAACTAAATTCAGGTCCTCTGGACATTCTTATGACATAGGAGAAAAGGGAAAAACAGAAATTTAATATATGTTAAGGATGTCATTTTAAGTAAATGTAAAATGGATGAATTAATACACAATGTCAAAACTGGCTAACGATTTCAAACAAGGTTAGATTCTAGCTGCATACCATGTGCTAAGATAAATTATATGTGGATTAAAGATTTAAATATAAAGAAATAAAATTGTGAGTTCCATTCTAAAACATAGGTGAATATTTACTAATGAAATTGGGCAAAAGGTTTTTTTAAGAGCAGAACATCAAAGCCTGAAATCATAAAGGAAAAGAGCACAAAACTCATCCACATAAATAGTGAAAACTAGTGAGTGGCGAAGAAATTTAAAAGGAAGGGACAGATTGGGAAAAACATTTGCAATATAAGACAAAGAATGAGTGTCATTAATATATAAAGGGCTCTTACAAATTAGTAAAAAAACAACTAATATCACAATAGTGAAAAGGCCATAGGACGTGAACAAGTAATTCACAGGAAAAAAATGTTCAACCCCTTTCATCAAAGAAATGTAAATGAAACCAAGATTGTAATCTTTACCTATCAAATTGGCAGATGAAACAATAGCTGGTACTTACTGAGCCCTTTCTGTGTGTCAGCCACTGTTCTAAGTGTTTTACGTTTAAGAGTTACCACCAGTCATAAGATATATTTAAATTTCTTGGGTTTTACATTTAACATTTGTGTACTTTGTGTATGTTACACCTTAATTAAGCTGTTTTGTTTGTAAGCAGTTTGCCTTACAGTCTCCTGGAAACTAAATCACCATTGGGCTTAGGTTGGTCTGACCCTGCCTGATGCTTAGGAGTGATGTGATGGCAGCCATTGGAGAATGGTTCCATCCCTGCTAAGGGTGATGAAATGTTCTCCTCAAACTTGTGGGGTGTTATCTTTCTATGGCTCTGTGACCGTTATAAATTAGAAACTTAGGTGTAATCGTCTTTGAAGCAAAAATTTCATTCTGAATGAATCTCTTGTCTATTTTTACAATTGTCTATCAGTTATGGTGTTTAGAAAAAAACTGCCTTGCAAAGTAGTTGGTATTGTGCCTGTATCCACTACTCTGGGATGAAAGGCAAGAGAGGTGGAGTCTTCTTTTCATTTGTATTCTCTCAGTGGGAATGTACAATACATGTTCACTAAATTATTTTTTTTCTCTTTATGTCAGTAAAGTAATTCATCTTAAACATCAGTGGTTTCACAATCATGGAGAAAGAAGACAGGGTATATATGACTGGTAGACTTTTCCCAAAAGTTTAATGTTGGCATCTCTGTGGTTGACTCCTCATCATCGTTCATGGAAAACCCTTGCCAGTGATTGGTTTGGGAATGGGCACATGACAGAACCTTCCCAAGGAGGCACGAGCAAAGTCTTGTTAGTAGACTTTTGGCAAGGAAGGTATTTCTCATTCCTAAAAAGGAGGCACGTGAAGAGGTGGTTCCTTTCTTCTGAAAGGAGAAAGGACGGGATATCTTATAACTGGATATGATTCCTGGAACTGCTATCTAGTGGCCATAAATAGAGCCAGGCCTTGAGGGTACAGTCAGCACACAAGGATAGCAGAGAGAAGCAAAGAACATCATTGAGGGGCTGGCCCGGTGCTGTAGTGGTTAAGTTCACGTGCTCCGCTTTGATGGCCTGGGGTTTGTGGGTTTAGATCCTAGACACAGACCTACACACTGCTCATCAAGCCATGCTGTGGTGGCGTCCCACATACAAAATAGAGGAAGATGGGCACAGATGTTAGCTCAGAGACAATCTTCCTCAAGCAAAAAGAGGAAGATTGGCAGCAGGTGTTAGCTCAGGGCCAATCTTCCTCACCAAATGAAAAAAAAGAACATTGAGTCACTGTGTTGAATAACTCTGTAGACTGAGCTATCGCTGGACACAATAAATTTCCTAACCATTAAAAAAAGAAAGATTACCACCTTATGAGGTATTCTGCTTAAACCCACTTCACAGATGAGAAAAGTGGCATGGAGATGCTAAGTAAATTTCCTAAGACCTCACAATAGGTAAGTGGGGGAGCCGAGTTTTAAGTTCAGTCAGCCACACCTATTCATCACAAACTTACCAGACCAGTCACTATGCCATGAGCACAGGCTCGGGGGCTGTCTGGATCAGATCCCAGCCCAGCCACTCACCTCAGTTTCTCCATTTCTAAAATGGGAATAACAGTATCTTCCGTCATGGGGTTTTGGTAAGAAATTAATGAGTTAATACACATCATGCACTTAGAGCAGTCCTCAGTAAATGTGAGGTATTATGATGCTACAAGCACAATACACATGGTGGCAAAAACTTGGGGGAAACTATTAGTAAGATTATAGATTGCTATATCCTTTGACACAGAAATCCCACTTCTAGGAATTTATCTTAATTAAATAATTATAGCTTTGTTCACAAATTTCTATAGATTTATTGCGACGTTTAAAATAGCAAATAGCAACGATATGTCCAACGTATACGTGTAAATGTCCAACGTATACGTGTAAATGTCCAATGTATACGTGTAAATGTCCAACAGTAGAGAACAAGTTGAATTAAAGCCACTGAAGATATGAAGAAGTATGTTTATTGACATAGAAAGATGCTTATATATTAATTGAGAAAGTGGGTAACAAAGTTATACAGTATTATACTAATTCTTTAAAAAAGTATGTACTCATCGATAAAGTCTGGAACAATCTCAAAGATCATCTGTGGTTATTTCTGTGTGGAGAGTTTATGGTTGAGTCTTACCTTCCTGTTTTACGTATTTTTTACGTAATTAGGTATTATTTAATCATTTACAAAATCCACTTGGGTATTTGTGTAACAGTAATGATAATAATCCCCCCCACCCATCATGTCCCACATGTGGTAATCTTCTAGCCCAGGTTTCTTTCGACAGCTTTTATTTTCTTGGAGGGCAGGTATGGGGGATCCTGACTTGGTTTCTCACCCTGTCTCTAGCCACTTGCACAAAAGCTTTTGCAGATAATGTCCATTCTGCTTGGTTTTTCAGGTCGGCAAATATTTACTGTGTGCCTGCTCTTCGCTGCCCAGGCCCTGATGTAGGCATTGGCAATAAAAGTCGTCTCAGCTCAGTTAAGGACCATCAGCTTCATTGCCTGAGTGCCTGTTCTGCCACTTCAAAACCATATGATTTGGGCAGGTTACATAACCCCTTTCATTTGAAAGCAAATATTTATGGGGGTCCTCCTGCATATTAGGCGCTGGAGATACAGCATTGAACGAAAGAAGCACCTACTCCGGAAGCTTACTTTCTAATGGGGAGAGATTGACGATAAATAAATATGTGCCAGGTTGTGAAAAGTGCTGTGGAAATAATGCAGGATAAGGAGAGTAAAGAATGACAGGGCAGATGAGGTATGCATGTGTGGCATGTGCTAGAAAATATGTCTCTACTAAGATGACAATTGAGGAGAGACCTGAAGGAAGTGGGGTAGCCAGCCAGGAGGTTGTATGTAGGGAAAGAGTTTCAGAAAGAGGCAGTGGTGTGTGGGCACTGGCTTGTGCTTGTTCTGATTGTGCACATCTCTCCCCACCTCCCTGTTCAGTGAAGTCAAATTGGTAGCTTGAAATCAGCCTCAATGAGAGCATTTAGACACAGAAGTCCACAAATGCTACAAGAGTTGGGTTTTTTCCCCCCTTAGAGAGCCATTTGTTATTTACCAGGACACCACGGGGAAGAGGGAGCAGTAAGTGCAAAGGCCCGGAGGTAGGAGTGTGCTTGGTCTGAGGAACGTCAAGGCAGCCAGGGTGGCTAGACAGAGTGAAAGGGAAATTGATAGGGGATGAGGTCAGAGGTATCCAGGAGCAAGGTCGATAGGACTTTGTAGGCCATGGTAAGTACACTGGACTTTATTCTAAGTGAGTTGGGGGCCATTGGAAGGTTTTGAGCAGGGAAGTGACACCATCTGACTTAAGCTTTGAACAGAAGCACACAGAAGAATCAGGAAGACCAGTTGGGAGACTTTGGCCATAACCTAGACGAGATGATGGTGGCTCAGTAGTGGAGCTGGTAAGAAGAGCACTTCAATTTACTCATTTTTCAGATGTTGTGAAGATAGCATTTAAAAGTGGTTAGCATAGTGTCTAGCACACAAGAGACCCTCAGTAAATGAGAGCGGTTGCTATTATTATTGACAAAATGCCCATCCTGGGGGTGAAGGAGGGGTGCTCATGTCTAGGTACGAAGGCAAATAATTTCAGCACCAAGTATTAAGTACTATGTTCCAGACAAGTGAGAGCACAGAGGAGAGATACTTAAACCAAGTTGAGGGTAAGAAAGGCCAACAAGAGTGTTTGGGCGAAAGGGCACTGCTTTAGGAAGGCTTGGGGAAGAGGATTAGAAGGAATGTAGAACTGCATCAAGTGTCCACACCTCCCCAATTCGGGTGACATCAGACCACAGCTTTATCCTTTAGTTTAGCAAAATAAACAACGATCTGAAGGAACAGGGGTAATCTAATTATTCGGTGTGTTAATTAAATCACCTGGTAGGCTGTGGCTCATTATGTTCCAATTCACATTCACAGGTAATTTTATGAATTCCACAGAGCCTTTGATTCTGATCAGCAGATATAAAAGCTCAAGCTAGTAAGAACTTTAATGTTTTTCCCCCGCCCCCAAAGCCCCAGTAGATAGTTGTATGTCATAGCTGCACATCCTTCTAGTTGCTGTATGTGGGATGCGGCCTCAGCATGGCTGGACAAGCGGTGCGTCGGTGCGCGCCCGGGATCCGAACCCGGGCCACCAGCAGCGGAGCATGTGCACTTAACCGCTAAGCCACGGGGCTGGCCAGCCTGTAAGAACTTTAGAACTCGCTAGGCAAAAGGAGTTCTTAATCTGAGGCGCAAGCATGGGCTTTAGGAGGTCTGTGGATCCCTTGAAGATATTTGCAGAATTAGGTGTGTGCACATGAATTTTGGGGGTAGAAGTGGGACAGAGGGGTCCACAGCTGTTATCAGATTCTCAAAGACGTTTGTGGCTCAAAGAAGATTAAAAACACTGCTACTGAGATTAATCGTAGAGGGTAAAACCAGTCCAGAAGAAGGGTATGTTTTTGTTTGCCATTTTATCTATCATTAAAATATTTGGTAAAGTGCTATTTTAATTCACATCATACCAGTTAAAACACTGCGTTTAAAAGTGGTTCCTTTGGGGCTGGCCCCGTGGCATAGCGGTTAAATATGCGCGCTCCACGACTGGCAGCCTGGGTTCAGATCCCGGGCGTACACCGATGCACCGCTTGTCAGGCCATGCTGTGGCGGTGTCCCATATAAAGTGGAGGAAGATGGGCGCAGATGTTAGCCCAGGGCCGGTCTTCCTCAGCAAAAAGAGGAGGATTGGCATGGATGTTAGCTCAGGGCTGATCTTCCTCGCAAGAAAAAAAAAAAAAAGTGGTTCCTTTACTAATAAGGCCTTTGTCCTTTTTTTCAAATATGAACTGTCAGTTTGGACCCAGAGAGTATACATTGTAATTTAGAATTTCAGCTCTGCCAGGCTCTGATGGTCAATGAGCTCCAGTGTAATAACCAATGCTTATGGGCAAAACGTGCTCTATTGATCCTGCCAGGATCATACCTGCTATTCTTCCCTTTGAATGTTTTCTGCCTCTGGTTTCGCACTGCTGCTTATCGATCATTGATTCCCTGTATTCCCCTGACGTTAAGTTGCCAAGTCTCCAAAGTTACAAGTACTGCCTATGGGCTTCTTCAGAGCCAAAGAGAAAAATTTACCTTTAAAGCGAGGGTGAGTAGGGGCTGGCCCCGTGGCCTAGTGGGCAAGCTCAGCATGCTGCACTTTGGTGGCCTGGGTTCTCAGGTTTGGATCCCAGGCCCAGACCTACACCACATGTTATAGCCATGCTGTGGTGGTGTCCCACATATAAAAGAGGAAGATGGGCACAGACGTTAGCCCCGGGCTAATCTTCCTCAGCAAAAAGAGGAAGATTGGCAACGGATGTTAGCTCAGGGCCAATCTTCCTCAAAAAAAAAAAAAAAAAGGAAAACAAGATATCCTGTGAAGGATGAGTGAACTGCAGAAAGAAAAGAAAAGCAACCCTTTTCCTTGGACCATTGTCATTCCAGTGCTGCTGTATCAGGCACTGTGTCAGAACAATGAATGAGAAAAGGGGTATAGGAATTGATGACTACTGAAAAGTGTTGTAGGGAAATTAATTCTTTAGTTAATGTATCTCAATACATACTTTGTCGTGATGGGGGAGACAGTTAACTCCTATTGAGTATTTACCATGAACAAAGCACACTGCAAGGTGCTTTCCTTATATTATTGCATTGAATCCTCATAATAAGGCTCCTGAGGGAGGCATTACTGTCCCCATTTTACAGATAAGGAAGCTGAGGCTCAGAGAAGTTGCGTAAGTTTCCTAAAGTCGCATAGATGGTAAGATCGTACGATGTGAACCAACATCAGCCTCCAAAAGCTATTTACTTTCTACTATATCATACTGTAAAATTCACTGTAAAAGCTATTGAGAAGAATTTAAACTATTTGGGGCCAGAGATCATGCCATTAAATTTTGCATACTCCTCAGAACACAGTAGAGTACCTGCTACCTAGTAGGTACTCAAGAACTGTATGTGGGTTGGCCACCCATCCCAGTGGGTTGAAAAATAGACCCTCAAAGGCACAAGGATGTATCTTATTTCCAATTATGAAAAAAAGAACTTCCTTCACATTTTTTACAGGATATACTGTTCCTTGAGAGCAAAGTTATAGTAAGTCTTTTAAATAACCCCATGTGTATGGTTCAGAGGTTAAAACCTGTACATATTACACAAGGGTTCCAAAAAATGCACCTTGTGTATTACAGCTGCATGACATCGACATTTTCAGGATGAACAACCGTGACTAGATTAGTCCTAGTGGGGAAAAAAGGAGCTTGATATGTTACAAATAAGTGTGATATGCAACATAGTCAAAACCCAACCACTAGAAATCATTTTAAGGTATAAAAGGCGTAATAGAAAATATTCAGGCACATGTGAAAATGCTTAGACAAGTGGCCTGACCCTCCTCACAGTCTATGTGCGTATTTTCTGGTTCATGGCTGATCCCTCCTTCCTCAGCACACCCAGGCTTCTTGAGTGTGTGGAGAGTCGAGGAGTGGTGCTGTCTGCCAAGGGCTTCCTGATGATGGCACTGCTCTAATATTCCAGCGTCACCGTCTTGGTTTTGAGGTATTCGTTTAGAGCTTCCTCACCTGGGGAAGAGACAAGCAGTTGATGGACCATGTTCACAGGTGTACGTGATGTCACCAGGCTTTCAGACACAAGTGTTTAGGTGCATAGGTGACTAAGCAAATAGAATGTGCTTCTCAAACTTTAAATTTCACGTGAATCACGGGAAGATCTTGTGAAAACTGCAGATTCTGATTCGATTAAGTCCGTGTAGGCCCCAAGATTATGTGTTTCTAACCATTCTCTGATGATGCTGATGCTCACGGTCCACACGTTGAGGAGCAAGGACCTAGACCAGCTACCAGGTCTTCTAAGGACCAGAGTGTTCGCTTGGTCAGTCTCCCCCCGAAACCTTTCTCCTTTATTTCCCTGCTTGATGACAGACTCTCCATCTCTGCCCTTTGCCCACTTAGGCTGAAAAGAAGTGATCAGGATACTGCCCTTCAATTACATTAAATGAAGCAGAGTCGAGCAGAGGAAAGAAAGTTTGAGATCATTTAGTCTAATCTTATTTTATTTTATTTATTTATTTTTATGTGAGGAGGACTAGCCCTGAGCTAACATCTGATGCCAATCCTCCCCTTTTTTCTTGAGGAAGATGGACCCTGAGCTAACAACCGTGGCCATCTTCCTCTACTTTATATGGGACGCCGCCACAGCACGGCTTAACAAGCGATGTGTCGGTGCGTGCCGGGGATCTGAACCTACGAACCCCGGGCCGCCGCAGCAGAGCGCATGCACTTAACCGCTTGCGCCACCGGGCCGGCCGTTAGTCTAATCTTATTTTAAAGATAAGGAAAATGCAGTTTTCCTGATTTACGTAGTATGTTAGAAATGCAGAAGGGCTTATCCAGGCAAAAAATAAATAGGTCTGCCTTTCTGTTTCTATTTTGAGCTGGAGCAATCATCGATTTCTACAGCAAAGGGCATGAATACCGCAGGTGAAAATAAGTACGTGATTCTGGAAGCTGAGCTAAACCAAGAGTTCTTAACCTTATATTAGAATCACCTTGGGGAGCTTTTAAAACTCCTGATCCCAGGTCACACCCCAAACTAATAAAATCAGCATCTTTGTAGTTTTTTAAAGCTCCCAGGTGATTCTAATCCAATGTGCAGCTAGGAACCACTGGGCTAAGGGAGTTTAAAATTAAGAGTCGAAGAAACTGTTAGGCAAATTCTACCGTTTTATAATAAAACATAGACCCGAAGCTGGTTAATTATCAAAAGACAAGGGGAACTCTGTTGCCTCACTTTATAATAATAATTTCCCTAAGAAAATCTCCCACTTTGTTTTGGATCCAGGGATGAAAGCCAGATTGAAGACAATAAAAAAATGACTTTACTTTCAACTCAATGAGAGCTACTTTTACTGCTGCAAATACATTGCTGAAAGTCATCAGGAAAGAGAAAATGTAAAAATACCCCAAATTAACCAAACTTATATTAGCAGACTATAATTTCAGTAAATTACAAACATTTCAGTTTTTGAAAAATGCCAGACTGATGTGGGGAGTGAGAACCTGGGCTCCACAGCCAGACTGCCTGGCTTTGAATTCTCTTTGCCAGTGGCTGGCTGTTTGACTCTGGGCAAGTTACCCAACCTCTCTGAGCCCCATTTTCCTCATCTGTAAAATAACAATCATAATAGCACCTATCTCCCAGGCTATTGTGAGACTTGCTTGTGCTATTACAGGTAAAGTAGTTGGAATAGGGCCTGCTACATATTTAGCATTCAAAGTAAGCTAGTACTTGAAATGCGATAGTGTCACTGCCCACAGTGAATTATATTTTGGGCTTTCTAAAAACATTAAATTTGAGTTCCCAGACTCCCAGAAAACCCTGCCAGTTGCAGTGTTGATGCTGAAAGACTGCCAAGCAGCTCAGAGGCAGGACTTATTCTTGGAGCTAGTTAGTTACTGCCCTCCACCCATTTTCCTTTCTTGCTTCCACTTAGTCCCATGAAAGCTAAACCAAGTTCATGCTGAATGTCAGGGAAAAAAAACCCAACATAGTTTAGCTAAAAGATATTGTCAGAGTTTCTTTTTCCTTTCAACATTAATCTCCTTTTAAAAAGACACTTTTCCACACAATTTGTGTACTTTTCTGTATGTACGTTATGTTCAATAAAAATGTTTAACGTTTAAAAACAATGAGTACGCTTGTAAACCCAGATCCAACTGCCATGTAGGAAAAACCTTCAAAATAATACACACGTGGTGCGTGAAATACAGCAGACTTTTCTCTGATGTGTGACAAAGGGAACACGCAGTGGAAAAAGTAAAGCTTACCTAAATCTTTTCCGAATCCAGACTGTTTAACTCCACCAAAAGGGGCCGCCACATCAGTTTTGTTGTACGTGTTGATAAAAACAGTTCCCGCCTCTAGTTTCTCACTCACATACATAGCTTTATTTATGTCTCTTGTAAAAACCCCTGAGGCCAAACCGTACTCTGTATTATTTGCTCGCTGCAACACTCCATCGATGTCCCTACAAGATGTTTTTAGGAAGACAAAACTTCATTAAATGTCAAGCAAAACACTCATTTTATGTTTGAATATTTTTCCCCTCCACGCTAGACACAGGAAGATGTTACTGCCAACCTGCTTACATTTTTATATATGAAATAGTCCAGGCTTTCACCCAAGAAACTCCCAATGAAATATTACAACTCTAGTATTATTTTTCAATATATATCATGCGACACCTTTTAAAATCCAATCTGAAGTCATCTTTTCAATCTTCTTCATTGGTTCTCCTTGATGATTTCTCCACTTCTTCTCCTTTCCCTTGAGTCCCATTTCTAGATATATTCTCAGAGCACCCCACCTCTTCAGATTTTGCACACCCAGTTCCAGGCTCATTCAGTGCCTCGCCCTGAAGCCTTTCCAGCTGCCACAGGGTCGCTGTTGAGGCTGTAGAGTGTAGTGACTCAGCCAGAGGGCTCTGCAGCCAGACTGCCTGGGTGACCTCGGGCAAATGACTTCTCCCCACGCTTTCGTCTATTGTTGTGAAAAATGGAAATAATAATAATAGCACCTGACTTGTTGTCATGAGGATTAAATGAGCTAATAGTGTCTGGAACACAGTAATGCTGAATAAAAGACAGCTATAATCAGGAAGCACATATTCCTCCAACTCAGTATTTTGGCTTAACTCTCTCTATGTTTGTGGTTCGCCTCTCAACCAGACTGGATGCTCCCCAAGGGCAGAGATAACATCTTATTCTTCTTTTGTTTTTTTGCTTGAGGAAGATTAGCCCTGAGATAACATCTGTGCCAATCTTCCTCCTATCTTATATGTGGGTCACCACCACAGCATGGCTGATGAGTGGTATAGGTCCACACCAGGGATCTGAACCCACAGGCCACCAAAGTGGATAGTACTGAATTTAACCACTACGCCACGGGGCCGGCCCCCATCTTATTTTTCTTTATACCATGGTGTTGCATCATCAAACGAGAGTGAATTCAATTAATATGCTAATTCAGTTAAAGGAGAGTAAAATAATCCCTTAAATCGGTCCGATGATTTCCCTGCCTTTTGATCTATGTGTCCATGCCCAAGTCAGTGGAGATGTGAACCTGCTCACGTCTCAGTTGGGTCCAGTTCCAACATGCCTGTCATAGTGCAAGTATCTCACCTCTATGAGTGCCATCCTAATGTTTAAAAATGCACGAAGTTTCTAGAACATGGCCAGTAAATGAAAGCCAAGTATTTCATCTAGTGCTCCAGCAAAGAAACAGGATCTGTTCCAAAACTGGAGGAAAAATTAGTTGTGCTGAATCTTTTGAGAGTCAGCACAGGCTTCAAGGTGGTGCCTTCCGAAGGGATTTCCAAAGGTAATCTTGACCCTGCATAATTTTAAACTCACATGAGAAATTTGGAACCTAACTTGGCGTGAACTGAGGCCCTGCTAAAACTCTCACACTTCTTGATGTATTGCACATGGTAGGGACCCCAATATTTATGGACTGGATTAAGGCACAAAGATGGCTTTATGCCATTGTTCTTTTTTTTTTTAAATTTTTTGTTTATTGCAGTAACATTGGTTTATACCATTGTAAAAATTTCAGGTGTACATCATTGTACTTCTATTTCTGCATAGATTACATCATGTTCAAAAATATGGAACGCTTCACGAATTTGCGTGTCATCCTTGCGCAGGGGCCATGCTAATCTTCTCTGTATCGTTCCAATTTTAGCATATGTGCTGCCGAAGCGAGCACTATGCCATTGTTCTTGAGGACTATTGAGATGACATAGCTTCATAGTACACCTTGCCTACTTCTAGAATAATAAGTATAACAATGGCAGCAGCAGCAGCAAATACTTGACTTATTTAATCCTTACAATGATCCAAAAAGTAGATACTGTTAATAACCCAATTATACAACTGAAGAAACCAAGGCGCAGAGTGATTAAGTGGCCCCCGCTCTCCTTGTCTGTCTCCTCCATTAGATGGTAAGCTCCTTAAGGACAGGAACTGTGACTTATCTAGGTTTATATCCTCCAAATCTGGCTTCTAATATCTGCATGTTTAACACAAAGACTATCCCATGGGGGAATTTATAACGAGGAAAAGAGGGTAACAGTATCCTTGGATCAGTGTGTCAAAAGATTACTCACTATAGCTTAGTGTCCCCAAGAGTCTCTTACAATATGTCTATCAAAAACTAAGCCCTCTGAACTTTGTATTCTGTTTTTTCCACCTTTTCATCAGTTGAAGGAAAACTGAAGCCAGAATTCTGAAGAACAGTACACAATATATCATGAGAGTTTGTTGTATTAAATATTCTTACATGAGCTCAGTTACATATGGCTCTCTTTGAAATGCTGAACACTTTGGAAAGTTTCATGTACTATAAGAAACCAGCATATCATTTACAGTTGATTATATGGCGATTGTGGACATTTCTATAAAAGTTGAGTATTAGGCTTTTGGGGGCATGATCCCCTATGAAGGCAGCACTCTTTCTTTTGGAAAATCAGATTCCACAGATGCTGCCTTTCCTAGGAATGTAAACGTGAAAACTAGTTCTGTTATTTTCAGTTATTTACCTTGTTCCAGAGACATTTCAAATGTCAATTGTACAAAAACTAAAATTTAGTCAGCTAAAATCCCATAATGTCAGCCATCAATGTAAGCTAAGAAGCAAAAATATATTACAATCTACATGGGTTAGCATTCTCATCTAATTATTTAATTAAGTCAATTATTCTTATGGTAGAGAATTACATGGCCATTGATTTTATGCTCTGTATATAGCACAACAGCAAAAGAAAAAAACTCATCAAATCAAAACCTGTTAAATTGAGCCTGAAGAACATACCCATTTTGGAATTTAGAAATGACCATAATAGGCCCAAAGGATTCCTCTTTGGCAAGATACATGTGGTCTTCCACGTCCGTGAAGACAGTTGGTTCCATAAAAAAGCCTATTTGATAAACAGAAGAAAAGAACATCAATTATAGGGTAATTAATAGTTTTCTCATTTAATTACATTATAAATTTTTTTCTTCCCTTCTGGGTCAGTAAAACCAAGAAGACTTTCATTTTCTTATTTGGCATCAGCATTCCTAGGTTCTTATTTTTTTAAAGTCTTTATTATAAAAATTTCAAACATATATAAAAGGAAAGAATAGAATAATGAACAGTAAAATAAATATTTATTCACATTTTGCTATATTTGATTCATTTTTCCCTTGCTGAAATAGTTTAAAGCAAATTCCCAAGATTACAACTTTTACCTCCAAGTATTTCAGTACAAATCTGTAAAAAATAAGGACATTTTCTTACATACCATAATACATTATCACAGCTAACAAAATTAATGCTAATTCCTTGCTCACAGTTTATATTTCGATTTCTTTTAACTGTTAACTTTTTTATTAAGGTATAATTGACATACAACTTTATATTAGTTTCAGGTGTACAACATAGTGACTTGATATTTGTATTCAATATCTGATTGGTAAATATCTTTTTATAGTTGATTTGTTTGATTCAGGATTCAAATAAATTCTACACATTGCCTTTGGTTGTTAGATCTCTTAAGTGTCCTTTAATCTAGAATATTCCCCCCTTTATCCCTGCCCCTTATTTTTCATGCCATTGACTTGTTAAACAGACTGAGTCAGTTGTCCTGTAGAATATCTTCCATTTTAGATTTGTCATTGCTTCCTGGGATGATGTTTAATTTGTTCCTCTATCCCCTGTATTTCTTGTAAATGGAAAATTTGACCTAAAGGCATGATCAGATTCAGGTTGAACATTTTTGGCAAGAATACTTCATAGGTGATGCTGTGTGTTACATTTTGCATCCCATAGGATACATCATATCCAGTTGTCTTGCTTTCACTGATGCCAAGATTGACAGTGGTTCCAAGTGGTGACAACTTGACCCCTCCATTGTAAAATTGTGATTTTGTCATGATAACTGGCAAGCAACCTTGGGGGTGGCACCATGCAAATACCCAGGTCCCCATCAACACTTCACCTAATAACTTCAGCCTCTTTTGATGATCATTGCCTGAATCAATTATTTCATTCAATTAGGGGGTACGAAACAGTGATTTTTCTATTCTATAATTTTTTCTACATTTATTAGCAGGGATTCTTCTGCCAAAAAAAAAAAAAGTCTCTTTTATTAGCTACACGGTTACCCAGAAACTCATTGCATACAGGATACACAGGATAAAAGTTGCATTTTTTTCCTTCTAATTACCAATTTTCAGAGCAAGGTGTTGGTGCGCAACCTACCTACAGCAGTGAAAAATGAGTTTTTACAGATGTTTGTTTTTCTCTTCTTTGGGGTATCATGATATTGAGCCATTCACACACTTCTGTAACAGGTACTGCTTTAGTCAACAGGAATGAATCCTTCCCAGGCTACGCTGGATCAGACAAAATCTCACCATGCCGGGAACTAAGGTCACCAGTGCCTGAATAACACAGTTATCCATTCCACTTGGTTACTGTCTCATCCATTTTGTTGTTTGATTTTCACAGCCTTGTAAAGCAGGATGTGCACATTTCATCCCATTTTACAACTGAGAAAAACTGGGTTGTCCAAGGTGCCACTGCTTATAAGTGGCCAAGCAGGATCTAGAAAGTAATTCTTCTGATCATAACATAAATGCCACTGTTTACTTTTGAGGCAAGATGGTGCCGCAATGAAAACTGTTACCATCCATTCCAACTTAACAAGCCAGGTGCTCCGTATACCTCCTACCAGGGTGACCTTACCCGGCCTTTGGACTTGTCTTCCGCCATACACCAAGGTGGCCCCCTCCTTCACTCCAGTTTCACAGTATTGCAGAAGCTTTTCCAGATGGGCCTTATGATTCTGGGGCCCGTGGTCAGTAGATCTGTCAAGTGGATCACCAATTTTCATCTTTTTAATTTCTTCCACCTACATGTCATCCAGTTCACAAAACACAATTGACTGTTAGTAATAATAAGAGCTACCTTTGACTGAGCTTCTACCATGTGGTGGGTGTTGTATTAAGCAATTAAAATGTATTGTCATTTAGTCTTCAAAGCAGCACTGGAGGTAGGTTTTATTGTTTTCATCTTAGAGATGAAGAAACTGAGACTTAGAGAGGTTAAGTGACTTGGACAGGGGCACACAAGCACCAAATATTGTAGAGTTGTCCTGACTTCCAAGCCCAAGCTTTTAACCAGAGTTCTAGCATAACATAAGCTACATATGCTATTTTAAAATTATCTTGAATGTTAATCTACTAAAATGGCAAATCTGATGTTCTGGAATTTTTACTGATACAGCATACTTACACTCTTCATGGCAAAAGAATTTCTAAAATGGCCACATTGTTATCTTTTTTCTCTCCCCAAATGTGGCAGACTACCCTTGTGAAATTCTCACGGTATAGCCATGCCAGAGGAATTGCCAGAACGTTCCAATGAAAAAACATCTTTATCACACAATGTTCATCACTGACATGTCTTTGTGATCGCTTCTTGTCCTCCTCGGTTATCTTAATCTATTTCTGCATTTTCTAACGTTAAGTCCAAAGCTAGTAAGAAGAAAGAATGAGAGTTCCTGTGACCCGGCAGGGCCATGAATTTAAATGTAGGCCTGGCAATAATTCCTTAGTAAATGCTCAAGAAATAGCTGCTGAATGAATAAATGAATACAAATCGCACGTGTGCAAAACATCTTTGTTGATGGACTGATACAGTAAATCCTTGATATTTCTGGTCTCGGAATTTGAAATTTCAACAAGTTGTAATTGTGAAAGCCCATTATATGTAGTATGGCCGCTGTATTTTACTGAGGCACAAAACTGAATTATAGGGATGTTCAGGAGGCAGCCACTGCCCGCCATCTGCCTCTCCATAGGACTTCCTTGTTTCCCACTCTCATGAAGAAAGAACGCCTTTGCGTCTTGGGGGTGGGTGGGGGAACTGGCTCTGAAAAAAAAAGCTAGGTGCTGGTTTTTCAAATGTAAACAAATTCATGATTACTATTACCATCATAATGACATAATGCAGTATAGTTTAGAGTTTATTTCAGCCACGGAATTCATCTTAATAGTTCTATAAATGGCTTTTAGTCCCATATTTATGGAATCATGATCAATCTACAGGGGTTATGTATCTATCTAACCATCTGTCTGTCTGTCTGTCCATCTATCTATTTATTTTAGTGGAGAAAATTATATGCTGTCCTGTTAACTGTAAATCGAAGATTTGTAAAGATCTAGTGGTATATCTCTCATAGTCCATTTAGGGAATTAAATTTAGGGGATTAAAAATCTAGGAGTATATCTCCCACAAGTGTCAATGATCTAATATACTATAAATGCAGAGCAAGATATAGGTAATACTAGCTCTTATGTATACTTTATCAGGTTTTTTTATATAGACATAACTTTTTACTGTGAAAAGTTATAAACACATATAAACGTAGACAAATAATACAATGAACCTCTATATTCCCATCACCCAGCTTCAACAGTTATCAACTCATGGCCAATTTATTCCTCCACTCACTTCCTCCCCTCCTGGGTTATTTTGAAGCAAAGTTCAGACATGATATAATTTAACCTGTAAATATATCAGAAAGTAGCTCTAAAAGATAAGGACTGTGTTGTTTTTTAAAATATATAACCACAGTACTATTACCATACCTAAAAATTCATTAATAATCCCAGAAGTACTTTTCAAGTAAAAGCAATTTTTCTACAATGCATAGAACAAATATGAAGACAACTTACCACTCTTGTCACAAATTCATCATGGATGGATTCTTCCACAAACAATCTCCCAGCTGCAATACAGTTCTCTCCTTTGTTGAAAAATACTGCTCCCATGCCCTTTGGCAGCAGAAGAGAAAATATTGTTAATATTACTTGGGAAGTCAATATTTTCATAAAATTGCACACACTGAGAATTAGATGTTATTGGAAGACAGCAGACAACAAAGAAAGTTCAGAGAAAACCACAATCCCTTGGCCTAGTTAGTGATGAGAACTCCTTGGAAGTACTCAGTTTTGATCTAGCATGTTTTTAGGGATTTTGTTTCTCCTCTTCCCCTTTTGGTCCATGAGCACTTTACAGAAACACGTGTAATAATATGGATATACCACTACGGACAAATATTGTGTTGCAAGAAAACCTAGATTATTCTATGCATGTAAATGTAATACTTGTATATCAAATTTTGCTTTTATATTTGTTTGTATAAATCATGAATATTTAGAAAGACTCCCTTACCCCCTAAGTTTTAAAAACACCTTAATGAGACAAATTATAAAGACATTATTTTAAAAATTAAGTGCTCTGAGTATTCCCAAATCTAAGCATAAAGAAGATGGTTTCTATTTATGACTAGACAATACCCAATCTCATTCTAAGATTTCTGATAAACAAGAGGTGAGATGTGTTTTAGAAATGGGCACTTATTTCCTTGGACTTGACCCACTCTTACCATTCGCACGGCATTGTCAAGTTCACAGTCATTGAATATTATAAGTGGGGATTTGCCACCAAGTTCAAGGGAAACTTTCTTCAAGTTGCTCACAGCACAGCTAGAGAAAAATAAATGGGAAATGAGCATTTCGTCCGTCTATCAGTCTCTCTCTCTTTTTTTTTTTAAAATAATTTTATTTATTTATTTTTCCCCCAAAGCCTCAGTAGATAGTTATATGTCATATTTGTACATCCTTCTAGTTGCTGTATGTGGGACGCGGCCCCAGCATGGCTGGAGAAGTGGTGCATCGGTGCGCGCCTGGGATCCGAACCCGGGCCGCCGGCAGCGGAGTGCACGCGCTTAACCACTAAGCCACGGGGCCGGCCCTCTCTCTTGTTTTTTCAACCATAAATTACTATTTGGCATGGAAACTATAACTGAGCATCAGGAATATTAAGAAACTTATTCAAAGACAAAACATGAATGGTGGAATGGTGAAAACTGTTGAAGCTGGGTAATGATCACATGGAATTCACTATGGTATTCTGGGTGCTTTGTATATATTAGAAATTCTCCATAATAAAAAGTTGTATCTTTTAAAATTCTGTGGTCAAATGACTAGAGATCCTCATAGGTAAATTCAGATTCTTTAGGTATAAAAATTTTTGTTACATAAAGGCCTGGCAAGGAATTTAAGCTCTAACCAGACTACCAGAGATTTGGGAAAAAAATACCAATCTTTAGCAATATATTGTTTATTTTCCCCTTCTTACAAAAGTATTTTTATTTAAAACATTAAAAAAAATACCCCCAAAGGTTCAGAAAGAAGAAAAAAAAATCACAAAATTCCCTTTCATGGCTCAATGATAATTGTTTTTACCATTTTGATATACTTATTTCTAGTCTGTGTCCAACCATAGACTTTGCCTTATTTAACATAATTGGGATCACCCAAAATATACAGTTTTATACCTTATTTTCTTTCCATTTACCATTTTAACAACATTTTTCAATGTTATCAAAAATGTTCCATGGACATGACTACACAGTATTCCATTATGTTAACATGCTTTAACTACTGCCTTATTTTTGGCATTTAGATTGCTTGCAATTTTTAAAAACTAATGTTACTGCTTTTTAGGAATTCATTTATAAATAATCCAGATTTGTCATTTATATGTCTTTTGAGTTTCTTACTTATGCTCCAGAAACACTGTGGGCCACAACTTTAGTACAGAAAATGTTTTGTGCTGGATTGTTAAAGCTGCCAGCAGGCTGTAAAATTTCAATATGGCTCTAGTTATATTGATTTTGGTCTTTACACTTTGGAAAGTATTTTATTATATTCAAACTTTTCAATACCTTGCAGTGATAAGTAGATTTCTCTCCTAAATTTGATGTGTTTTTTCTTCCTCCAAAAGCACTTTATTTAAAAAAGCTAAAACAAAACCAAAAACCTGGTTTAACAGGATTTTTAGCAAATCAACATCCTAAAACCAATACCTCTTCATGATCTGTTTGCCAATAAGAGTAGAACCAGTGAAACCAAGCTTGCGGATATCAGGATGTTCAGAAAGGCGTTGTCCTGCTATGCCACCTGTAGAATTAGGGAAGAAAACATGAATTAAAACATTACTCAGGTTCTTATGGTTAGGGTAGCTTTAAATTCATTGAAGTAGATTTCTAAGCTCTCATTTAAATTTTAGTTTTATATTTTCTGTATTCATTACAATCCAAATGACAAAAATCTAAGTAATATGTCCTCCATGTAATTGTGAGCCCCCCAAAAGATGGGTAAGCCTTGATTTTTTATCTTCCAAAGTAATTTTTAAAAGGTGAAACAGGCCACCTTAGGGTAGTTTTACAATGTTGTACAATATCTGCCCTTCCTACCCTGCTTACCCATCATTATATTTCCACTTGAAGATTTTCAGCACGTGATAAGTGCATTCATCCTTAAGTTAACTGTTTGGTAAACTGTATTTAGTTTAACATAGTTATAATTCAGGGTAAGACTCCAGTGGGAAAACAGCCATTCGGCTACCCCTGTACCATTCATTAGCTATAGCGAAGTGGCTCCTTTGATGCTTACCTGAGCCTGGGATGATGTTGATTACTCCCTTTGGAAAGCCTGCTTTGACAGAGAGCTCTGCGAACTTCAAAGCAGTCAAGGGTGTGACCTGAGCAGAAGCAGACAGCAATCACCTTCTTCAGACTCTGTCCTGTCATTTAGACCAGGACCCTGCTTTCCCCTTATGGCCGCACTAGAGTTCATCTTATTTTTTCTTTTATTTTGACATAATTTCAGACTTACAGCAAAGTTGCAAAAATAGTACAAAGAATTCCTATATATTCGTCACCCAGATTCCTCAAATGTTTACATTTTCCTACATTTGCTTTATCCTCTTTCTCTCTACATTGTTTTCTGAACTGCATAAGAGTAAGATATAGACATGCCCCTTTACCTCTAAATACCTCTGTGTGCATTTCCTATAAAGAAAGAATTCTTTTACATAACCACAGTATGATGATCAAAATCAGGAAATTAACAACTGACAGAAATCCTAATTTACAGACCTTATTCAGTTTTCACCAATTGTCCCAATAATGTGCTTTATGGAAGAAGAAAATCCAAGATCATACATTGCATTTAGTTATCACGTCTGTAGTCTCCTTGACTCTGGAAGGGTTTCTGAGTTTTCTTATATATTTCATTACATTAACATTTTTTATAAGCACAGGCCAGTTATTTCAGACAATGTCCCTTCGTCTGGATTTGTCTGCTGTTTCCTCATGATTAGATTCAGGTTACGCACTTTTGGCAAGAACACCATAGGAGAGACGCTGAGTTCACCTAAGTACATCATATCAGGAAGCACATGATGTCAAACAGTCCCAATATTGGAAATATTCATTTGGTAAAGGTGGTCTGCCAGTTTTCGTCACTGTGAGTTACTTTTTATACTTTGTAATTAATAAATATTTTATAGGAAGATACTTCAAGACTATCTGAACACCCAGTTACTCCTCCACTAGTCTCATCCACCAGTTTTAGTATCCATTGATGATTCCTGCCTGAATCAATGATTGTTACGATAGTTGCTAAATGGTGATTTTCTATCATTCCTTCTACACCTATTAGTTGACTTTCCATTAAAGAGCTTTCCCTTCTCTTTAATTAATTGATTCATTAATTCACGTCAACTCATGGATTCTTACTTTTCAATAGGTTATAATCTTTTACTATTGTTGTTTCTTTTGATGTTCAAATTGTTCCAGATTTGGCTATTGGGAGCCCCTTTAGTACGGCTCCTGGGTCTTTCTAACATGTCCCTATCATTTTGTGAGCATTTCCTTGCTTTTTGGCCCAACAAGATGTTCCAGGCACGTCTTGTATTTTGCCTGCTCCAGCCGTTTCTTCAAAGAGCCTAGGTTTCTTTTAGTGAAGAATGGTATTTAAAAACTATGATATAATGGGAAATATATATTTGGTTTTTGTCTCCGATTCCTGGCACACAGTTCCTAAAACCTTGGACTCTCTAGAGTGAAAAGTGTTTTTCGTATACTAACGAGATGACTGGTAGCTGGAGGTCCCTAGGTAGCTTCAGGATGGAGTCTGGTCTCCACAAACACCAAGCTATGATTAGAGGGTTGGAACTTTCAGCCCAACCTTAGGGAAGTGGAAAGGGCTAGAGGTTGACTTCAATCACCAACAGCCAATGATTTAATCAATCATTCCTAGGTAATGAAATCTCCATAAAAACCCCTGAACAATGGGGTTTAGAGAGCTTCCCGGTTGGTGAACACATCCATGTGATGGGAGGGTGGCTCACAAGAACTCCACGGGGACAGAAGCTCTTTCCCCACTCTCTTCAGTGTGGTAATGTTATTCATTTGAAATATGGTTTAATTAATTTGTTTTTGTTTGTACTCAATTTTAGGGTTTTTTGCCCATCTGGGTTGATGATATTTCTTTTCTTTGTTCGTTTATTGTCATTGTTGAGGATGGGAAACATGCTTCCAAAAGTGAGGACTGTACAAAAGGTACATCCAGAGAAGTCTTGTCCTCCAGTCCCTTTCGCTCTGTCGTTGCCACCCCATCTCCTCCTGTCCTATAGATAATCCATCTCATTAGTCTCCGGGTTATCCTTCCTACGTTTCTCTTTGCTCAAATAAACACATAAATCGTTTCTTATTTTCCCGTGCTTACACAAAATGTGGCATAATATGGATCTCACTTTAAACATCCATCACAGCAATGCATATCTCAAAAGCAAAATGAAAGTCATATTTTCACACTCTTAAAAACCAATGCTGATTAAGTCTTAAATTAGTACTTTGTTAGCTCGGTCTCAAAAAATGTAATGTTCAAGAAGATCCATTTAGGTGTGAGTAGAAAATAGTAGAACTTTTATTTATATATCTTAACTGAGAAAGCTATGAAATCAATCAGACATAACTAACATTTATTATATGGCTGGATAAGGGTACTCTCGCTCGGCCTGAGTGAAGGTCAGACGGTCACGGGTCACAAAGGTGTCTGTAGTGTCCTGGGAGAGAACAGGCCAAGGCAACGACTGTTTCCTCACTTGCTCATCTGCTTTCAGAATATTGCCACATGTTGAAGTTTACAGCCTGTTTACATGGCTTCACAGACTATATTGTTATTTTAACTAACTCAACCTTCATCAAATGGACAAGTGGCTGAAAAAGAATCTGCATAGAAACTGCATAATAAATAATAACACTAACAAGGCAAACACAAGCAAACAACAAGAAAAAGGCAGGGCTAACACTTTCCCTCCTTCTAGTAACATGTCCATGACAGTAAAATGTGAGGTTTTAAAAAACGGTAATCTGGGGGCCGGCCCGGTGGCGCAAGCGGTTAAGTGCACGTGCTCCGCTGCGGCAGCCTGGGGTTCGCCGGTTCGGATCCCGGGTGCACACCGACGCACTGCTTGGCAAGCCATGCTGTGGCGGTGTCCCATATAAAGTGGAGGAAGATGGGCATGGATGTTAGCCCAGGGCCAGTCCTCCTCAGCAACAAAAAAAAAGGAGGAGGATTGGCAGATATTAGCACAGGGCTGATCTCTTCACACACAAAAAAAATGGCAATCTGGTTAGACTCAATGAGAAGTCGGCCCTAAACATTTGAAATGATCAAGAAGATAACTGAGGGGCCAGCCAGGGGCGTAGTGGTTAAGTTGGCGCGCTCCGCTTTGGTGGCCCAGAGTTCGCAGATTCAGATCTCAGGTTTGGACCTACACACCACTCAGCAAGCCATGCTGTGGTGGCGTCCCATATACAAAATAGAGGAAGACTGGCACAGATGTTAGCTCAGGGACAATCTTCCTCAAGCAAAAAGTGGAAGATTGACAACAGATGTTAGCTCACGGACAATCTTCCTCACCAAAAAAAAAAAAAGGAGGTATTTGAAATAGTGGATTTACATCTACTATAGTTAAAGATGATCCCAGCCCAAGGTGTACATTTTTATGCTTTGGTATGAAATCGAGATTAAAAAGACATTTAAAAACTAACTATCCTGAATTAATGATAATTCTTTTTAGGTAAGAACAAAAAGATTTTTTATATTATTAATAAACAAAACAAATTGTTTCTCTATCTCATCTTTTTTCATTTCTATTGATTTTCTTCCATTTGGCTATCTAGTTGTCCCAGCAGGATTATAGGTTTAAATGATATATGGGAAAGCATCTAACAGTGTTCTGGGTAAGAGCAGGTCATTGCTAAATATCAGTTTAATAAAGGTGTCAGAACCCGTCAGATCTGGACCATTCCAGGCCATGGGAATCTGCACCTTCTTATCAAGTTAAAGGGAAAGAGCCATCTAATTCAGTCCTCCTGACATTCACACAGGCCCTTAATACTGTAAATGATTTCATACCATCATTGCATAATATTATAAAATAAAAAGATATCTCCAACATAACAATGGCAACTTTGGGTCTTTCATTTTTAGGATTAAAATTATCATCAATCATTAAACTATCAGATTTAAACTGCAGATAGAGGGCTGGCCCCGTGGCTTAGTGGTTGAGTGAGCGCGCTCCACTGCTGGCGACCCGGGTTCAGATCCCGGGCTCGCACCGACGCGCTGCTTCTCCGGCCATGCTGAGGCCGCGTCCCACATACAGCAACTAGAAGGATGTGCAGCTATGACACACAGCTATCTACTGGGGCTTTGGGGGAAAAAATAAATAAAAATAAAATCTTTAAAAAAATAAAAAATAAAAAATAAACTGCAGATAGAGCCATACTATAATTTCCACGGGGACAGAAACCTTGTGCGTCTTTCTTATTGATAATTTGCCTAACAACAGTATGTACTCAATAAGTGTTTGTAATTTTTGAACATTATATATAATCACTGGAAATCTTCAACGTTTAGCATTGGACACCAGGTATGTCTCAACCCTGGCTGTACCTTAGAAACAAATGTGAAACTTTTAAGTAATACCGATGCCTGGGCTCCAACCTAGACCAATTAAGTCAGAATCTCTGCCAATGGGGCCCTGATGTCAGTATTTTTTAAAGAGAACTTGAGGTGATTCTAATGTGCAGCCAGGACTGAGCACCACTGGGCTAGGTTATCTGCCTCCTCTCTTCACTCTACTAGCTTCTTGCTGTTTAACAAGTGGTACGGCTTGGGGGAAGGAGCACTCTTATAGAACGCTGGTGAGTTGGTACAATTCCCATGGAAGGATTTGTCAATATCTATCACACAAATATGTGTATCTTTTAACTAAGTGATTCTGCTATTAGGAACATATCCTATAAATATACTTGCACATACACATGGTGCCATATTTACAAGGTTATTAACTGCAGCATAGTTCACAATAGCAAAAGTGTGGAAAAATCTAAATATCCATTAATTAGGGATTGGTTAAATAAAATATGGCTTATCTATACAATGCAATATGATGGGATATTGTTTATACAATGGAAACTATTAAAAAAAAGGAAGATTTTTTTCCTTTGGTAAGTATGTATAGAATGCTACTATGTTTATTTTGTTTATTTTATTTTATTGTGGTAAGAATACTTAACATGAGATCTACCCTCTTAACAAATTTTTAAGTGTACCATACAACATTATTAACTATAGACACAATGATGTACAGCAGATCTCTGGAACTTATTCATCTTGCATAATTGAAACTTTATGCCCGTCAATTAGCAATTTCCATTTCCCCTTCTCCCTTCTTTGTGTTTTTTTAATGGGGTAAAATAAACAAATTTTTATATATGTTCGTATATGCAGAGTATCTCTGGAATACCTAAGAAACTAATAAATAAAAATAACATTGGTTGCCTCTGTGGAGGTAAACAGGTTGGCTGGGAGAATAAGAACAGGAGGGACAGTTTCACTATCCATCTCTTTGCACTTTTTGAATTTTGAAATTTTTGGATGTAAACTATGTTTCAAATGAAATTATTTTTAATGAGTAAAACAAGATACCTGTGGTCATGTGACTATGTAGCTATGCCAAATGAAAGTGTATTCTTTTAAGTCTTAAAAGGAAAAAATGAAAGAAGAGCTGATAGGCAACAAACTGTCAACTCTTCTGGGACAGAGAGCAAGTTTTCTCTATGACTTGCGCACCTCAGAGCGTCTACTACTACGCACTGTACGCAGCAAATGCTCAGCCAGTTGTTAAGATGGCTACCACACATTTTTTTTCAAATGCTATTATTACATTAAAAGATTTTTTTGAGACCTCTATCATCTGAATTATACTTTTTTTATTATTTGCTTCTTATCTACAGGTATATATTTTCACACAATTGCCAGGTACATTCTTTTGCCTGGTTTTCCCTCATCTTCCATATCTTTAAAATATTTTCAATAGTTAAAATTTTTCTTTTTTTCTTTTTTTTTTTTCAAACCCTTGTGTCGAGGGCTGACTTTCAATAGATCGCAGCGAGGGAGCTGCTCTGCTATCAACGAAACCCTGACCCAGAAGCAGGTCGTCTACGAATGGTTTAGCACCAGGTTCCCCACGAACGTGCGCTGCATGACGGGTGAGGGGGCGGCCGCCTTTCCGGCCGCGCCCCATGTCCCAGGACGAGGGGCTCTCTGCACCGGACCCCGGTCCTGAAGCGCGGCGGGGCACGCCATGACGACGCGGGGGGGCCGCGCGCCAATAGTTAAAATTTGAATGCCTGTATAGTAATTTTTCTTTTGGTGTTTCATAATTACTCTAAATAATTCCCTAACTATTGGGCATTTGGCATTTTGCAAGAACTGAATTGTTTTGTAGAAATTCAATGGATTTCACTGATGTATATCATGCTTGCTTTCATTGTCATGGAAGTTTTAAATTGTGGAATCTCATAGGATGCATTGGGTAGCTATTAAAAATGAGTATTTACTAATATGAAAAAATGCTCATAATATATGTAAAGATGTCATAATATACAATTCCATTTTTGCTTAAAGACCTGATGTTTATAAATATATGCCTCTGGGTTTTTTTGTTGTTGTTGTTG